GGTGTCATGCAGCGCGCCCTCTTCCCCTGTCCCCACCTCATGGGTTGATGATTTTTCCTGTGTACTTTCTGGATTTTTCTGATCCATGCTAAGGGGGAGACAGAAGGGAGCTGTTAGGCCAGCACAGATTTGTGCTGTAAGCAACATCCTTACATCTCATGCTGGGGGAGGACAGGAGCTAGGCTCCCAGCAGACACACTTCTGCATGAGATGTGTGTTCCCACAGTGCTCCCAGGAGAGGTCCAATAAGGGTGGAGGTGTGTGGCCAGACTCTCATCAATGTGGGTCCACAGGCACACACACACGCGCACACCCCCACCCTGAATGGTGCGGAGGGCACAGGATACTGACCCACCAGATCCCTGAATAAGCGTCAGCATCTCCCTCCTGACAGAAGACGCGGAGAAACCAGCAGGGATGGCTCCAGGCAGCCAGCAGGTGGCGAGCAGAGACAAGACAGGACAAATCCCCTGCAGGTGCTGGAGAAGGCAGACCGGGTCGGGCCGGGCTCTGGGGCCCAGCTGCATGGTGTCTGGTGCTTTTGTTCCGCAGCCACCTGGGTGTGGCACTCGGCCACACGTGGGACATTTTTAACAGGGAAGCCGTCATGCCTTCTGCTTCTTATGAGGTTTCTGAGTCAGCACCTGGCTGTCCTCAGAGAACACGAAGGAAGGGCCAAGGGAGGTTCCAGGAAGCCATTCCAAAGTGATTGCTCAGTTTCCCTTTCCACGACCTGCAGATCCCAACACTCCAGGATGGTGCGGGACATCAATCTCAAGGTAACTGGTCACAGAGGTGAGAATCTTACTGAAAAATCAGAATGTTAACCCTGGAAGTTTCCTGAAAGATGAGCTAGACGGTTTTGAAACTGGATTGGAAACCCCAAGTGTAGCTCAGGGCTACTGGTCTTCGAAGTAGCAGGCTGGGGATGTCGGGGAGGCAGGTGCCCGGTGCCTGCCTGCTGGAGGATGACCAGGAGCCCTTTCTCAAGGCTTCGGCCCACCTGGGACTTGGGCAGTGTAGTGCCCAGCATCGGCCGCCGGAGGGAGCTCTAACCTGAGACTTGGCCGCTGGAGGGCTGGCTCAGTGGACCGCAGCTGGGAAAACAGGGCAAGGGGTGGAGTGCCACCAGGAGCCATTCCACAGTGACCACGGAGGAACAGAAACTGCATGGTGGGGGTTGTGAGTGGGGGAAAAGCGTCCACTGCCCAAGGACCTGGTCTCCTCGGCATCAGACTTACACAGCAGCTCCCATCCACCTTGACCTTAGGCTCAGGGCATCTGCAGCCCTGCTGCCTGCCCTTGGCCTCACTGCCCTCATCTGGCAGCTTCTGTGGGCTCTCGGGGCCGGAGAGGTCATGAAGAAATAGACAGAACGGCCCAGGCGTGGTGGGAGTCCATACAGAGCAGGCCCCCTCTGCACTGGGAGTCACGGGTTTCTGGTGCAGTGTCACAGAGCAGCCCTGCCCCAGTTCCTAGTGGTGCCTCCTCTGGGGTTCAGCACATGAGACAGAAGACCTGCCCCGGGGAGGTACAAAACAGGGGCAATGTTAACGCCATCTGCGCTCCCTGGCCCTGCAGGTGAGTGAGGATGAAGGGGAGCAGGCTGGTCCGGCCAGGGAGCAACTAGGGCTTTGTTTGAGAGACAATGTGCCCTTGCAGAGAGAATACAAATGATGGTGTCATGTGTCGGGCACCTGCTATCCGCTCAGCAATGAGCCAGACACATGTGTGTTGCTGATTCCCATCACCAGCTACCAGATGAGGTCCGGTCAACCCCAGTTCACAAACCAGTGACTGAGGCTCAGAGATGAGATAGCTGGCCATAGGTCACACAACTTGCAGGTGGCAGAACCAAGGCGAGTGTCCCTCCAAAGGCTAGAGACTCTCCTGCCAGCATGTTAGGCTGTAGCTGGACCCTCCAGGCCCACAGGCCATGTGGGTAGCTGGCACCGTCATCCGAAAGGACCTTATCCTGCAAGGCTCTCCAAGCCAGCCAAGGCCACCGTCCCTGGCTTCTCTTTCCCACAGACCTCTGAGTTGGGGTAGGGAGTTTGCAAAAGCGAAGGGGCAATGCCGGAAGATCTGGGCGCCAATTCATGGGGTGAGACCCTGGGCAAGTTGCCTCTCTGAGTCTCAACTTTCTGTTGTGTGAAGCGAGGAGAACGCTACTCCTTGTCTGGCCTGGGTCTCAGGTTGTTGTGTGGACCCACTGAGAGGAAGTATCGGAAATCCTCTGAAGTCTACGGACAACTGGAGCAAGGCTGACGGAGGCTTTCCTTTGTGCCAGGTGCTGTAAGTGGGTCACAGGCATCACCTCATTCTTATTTAGACCTTAGGAGGTTGAAGAAATTATCCACATTTTGCAGATGAAGGGTTGAGGGACAGGGAAGTTAAGTAGCTTGAGGTCACACAGGAGCAAAGCCAGGACTGGACTCCAGTCTTCTGAGGCCTAAGCACTGCTCTTCCTCTTCCCCAGATGGTGCTTATAGCCCCGGACTGGGAGGGGCAGGGCAGGACAGCAGGACTGCTGGACCCCTTCTAGAAGGACAGCCTACACCTGCGGGGGCTCTTGCCTCTGAGCTGGGGGACTGGGTGGAAGGTGAGAAATGGGAGCCAAGGACGTTCCTTATCCTCAGGGAGAGCACTGGATGTAGATAGGGGAATGTGCGCGCACACACACACATACACACACACATATATACAGTTGTTCTGGATTCCAAAATCCACTGATACTCAAGTCCCTGATATAAAAGGGTGCAGTATTTGCATATAACCTCTGCACATCCTCCCATATTCTTTAAATCATCTCTAGGTTACTTGTAATACCTGATACAATCCACCTGCTATGTAAATAGTTGTCATGCTGTATTGTTTAGGGGGTAATGACAAGGATGTTCAGTGCAGACATAACCATTTTTGGTATTTTTGTTCCATGGTTGGTTGAATTCAAGGACACAGAACCCATGGATATGAAGGGCTGATGGTACACAAATACACACACAGGAATGAATGCAGATATGTTCACACTCACACATGCACAAGCACCCTAAACACACATAGTGTATACCACCCCACCCACATAGACCCGGGGGCATGTGGACCCCCACAGACCCACACACGCCACGGCAGGCTTGCACACTGACCCCCACGTGCACACCCTCGAGGTGCATGCACGTACCTGAGCCCACATCCACACTCCTCCCAGGCCCGTTCCTGACAAGTTCATGTTGTCCCTCAGGCATCTTCCTTCATGTTCTCTGGGGGACAGACTGACTGTGGGATTCAGCCTTGGTTGCAAAGGGAAGAGGAGAGAAGAGAGCAGGGCAGGGCATGGACATACCAGCCCAGTTACTGGAGATCGCTGCCACTGGAGACGGGTTCAGAGCCCTTCCACACACCTTCCTCCTAATCTCTCAACTGCACCTCACCTGCAGGCAGGCCACCCCGATGCCCACCGCCCCCATGAGTAGCAGGTAGCTTGGTGAGGCAGCCTCCCTGGAAGGGAAGGGCAGGTGTCATGGCTTTGGCCCAGAACCAGGCACAGGTGGGGAGGAAGGGCTGGCCATCCCGGTGCATATGGCAGAGGCAGAGGGTGGACCAGAGGACTCATGGGCTGGACCTGGCCTTAAGTGGCTTACAGGTTTCGTGGGCAGCCCCGGGGGCATGCCATGGTGCCCTGGATTCTTCCAGGAGGAGCTGCTTTTCCCAGGGCTTTGTAGAGCCTCTGAAGGGCCTGGCGCTGTGAACTTGTGGTCAAGGATCATGTGTGCTTTGCTTTTCCCACGCCCATCTGCCTGACCCCAGCCCTTTGGGGGCTCCTGGAGGCTAGGCTGGGGCGCTCACCTCCCCCTTGCAGACGTTGGAGGGGTGGGCCGGCTGGCTGCAGAGTGCCACCACCACCTTGCAACAGCTGGCGGGCACTGGCGGCTCTCACCTCCCACGACAGCAGGTGCGTGCTGTGCAGCACTTGAACTGCAGGGGGAGGCAGAGGCTGGAGGTGAGAAGGCTGCGTGGGGTTCCAGGGCCGAGGACACAGGATTCAAATACTCACCAAACCTTCTTTGCTCTCCCTGCGATTTCTCCCTTTCCTGTTTGAGCAGAGAGCTGTCCCTGGGGGCCAGCACTGCCCGCAGGACTCCTATCTGCTACCTGCAGCCACCCAGGACCTGCAGCCACCCAGGTCCTTTAAGGAGATTATGCTGGGTGTCCTGAGGGCAGGGTAGGTCTGTGAGGTGGGCAAGATGGATGAGGGCGGGGTCCCCAGAGAGTGGGGCTGTGTACCGCTGCCTGGCAGAACACAGGGTGGTGACAAGCCACAAGAGGCAAGGAGGCCCTGGTCATCCAGGAGGCAGGACACGGGGACAGGGACCAGCCTTGCCAGAGGTTCCCAGGTGAAACCTCAGAGCCCCAAACATGCAGGGGCACACAGGGTGTCCCAGAGTCCACAGCGCAGGCAGGTCAGTGTTGGCCAGAGGGGCCAGTGTGAGTACTGAGTGAGGCCCGGGGTCGTCGGCACCACTCCAGGGCAGGGAAGTGCCAGCCAGGGTAGAAAGCAATTCAAAGACAGCGGACTCGGGCCACTTCCTGCCCTTCTGAGTCGGGGCACTGAGATTCCAAGTCCCTACACAGGCCACAGAACACAGCAGCTGGGAGGCCGTATCTGGTGTGGGTTTGGGGCTGGGCTGGGCGGAGGGGTATGAGTTCATTAGTTCAGCGAACAGGGCTTTGCTGGGTCTGCCATGTGCCTGGAGTGAACAAACATGAGCCAGGCGCCAGTCCTGCCCTGAAGTAGTGTAGCATTTACTGTAGTTTAGTAGAAGACAATGGAAGTTTGTGTGTGAACCCCAGAGAAGGAAGGGGTTAATCCTCCGTCCAGGGCTAGGAAACGTCCACAGGGATGGACGGGGGTGCCGGGCGTCCTGGCTGAACATAACGGCGGCAGACAGGGCAGGGACTGGCACAGCGAGGGCAGGGAGTCACGCAGCCTCGCACATCCCTGTGTCTCTGTCTGTGTGTGCTGGTGCCGCACGACTGCTGGGCCACTTACATGTAGAACTGGGCCAATGAAAGACCTGCACCCTGCGCCGTTGTGAGGACTGAAAGAGATTCATGGAACGCAATTAGAAGAGAGCCTGGCGCAGCACCCACAGTTAATGAGAGACACTTTCGTGAATACAGGTGCATGTGCCTGTGTCATTTACATGCATGGGGTGCTGCTGGAGGGCCCGATGCTGGCCCTGGCTCTGCAGCCACTGCTTTCTTGGGGCTCAGTCTCCTGCCTGAGATGCAGGTTGGGGTTCTAACTGTTCCCAGCCTGTGTGAGGGCCTGCACCTGTGTGCACCGGTGCCCTGCAGGTCTTGGCGGGTGACACGGCCTTTGCTCTTAGCCGCACCTTTCCTCATGCCACTCCCACCCTCTCCACCTAAGCAAACCCTGCCCCTGCCCCACGGGGTCCTCCCCACCCCCCTGCTCTCTGTTCTGGGGGTGCCCCAGCCCCGCACTGCCTGCACGTTGCCTGCTGTGTGTCTGGCTTTCTGAGTGAGCCTGAGGGCGGGGATTCTGTCCTATTCTTGTCTGGCACAGGTCCTCACAGGCACAGCCCAGGGAGAGCACACTTAGTCTTGCACAGGGCTGACCAACAGTGTGTGCTGCTCCATCCCAGTCCGGGCTAAGTCTGTGGGGTACGCGTGTGCCTGTGGGTGTGCACCTGTGTGTACACGTGTGCCCTAGGCCACGATTTCAGAAAAGAGACCTTCCACCAACGGGATGCTGAGCCTGTGTCTCAGGGAGATGGGGTGAGGGCTTCCCCACTGAGCCATGATGCCCTGGATCTTGGAGCTCATGACGTCTATGTCCTCTACTTGCCTGACATTCCCTGGGCCAAGACCAAGGCCCCAGGCCCAGGGGATGAGGGTGGGGAGTGGGGTGGCAGAGAGAGGGGGACCAGAGCATGTGGGGAGAGCAGCCTTGGATTTTCTGACACGAACCCATCAGGATCTGGAACAGTGCTGTCCAGGAGAGCTTTCCGCGATGGAGGCAGCGTCCTGCATCTGTGCTGTCCAGCTCGGCATTCAGTCACCATCTGGGGCTCCTGAGCGCCTGAAATGTGGTTGGTGAGAGCAAGGAACTGGATTTTGTTTAATTTAACTGTAAATAGCCACATGTGGGTGGCGGCTGCCGCATTGGACAGCACAGCTCTGAGGTCCACTCTCCGCCCCCCACGTCTGGCAGGATGGTGGGCCTCGCTGGAGGGATCTGCCGCGTCTCTTCTTGGAAAGGAGGCCACCTTTCTGTCCCTCAGCTTTCTGCCTGCTGGCTCACAACTGGGGAGTTCTGTTGGTGGCTTAGCTGAAATACCCCTGCCGGGTAGCACTCCCTCTTACGGGGCTTCAGTTCCCCGCTCCCCAGGGAAGAAGGAAGGCAGCCCCACAGATAGAAGAAACCTGGAGAGAGGCTTCCTGGCCCAGATCCTGGCAGGAGATGGAGTTCTCCTGGTACTGCCAGCTTCCTGCCCACCAGGACCCAGAACGGGAAGACAGCAGGGGTGGGTTTGGAGGAGGGAGTTGAGGAGAGGGAGGGAGAGGAAACAGGCTTCAGCAGGCACTTCTCACGGTGGTAAGGACTTTACAGATGTGGCCGAATTTAATGCTCACATACCCTAAAGAGGCTTCATTTTAGGGATGTGGCAACTGAGGCTCAGAGAGGGTAAGTAACTTGCCCACGGCCACACAGACAGGAAAGAAGAGAGTCAGGATTTGAACCTGTGTCTGCTTGGCCTTCAAGGCCCTAGGGCGTGGTGTACCTCCTGTTACAGCCGGTCTGCTGAGGTGGGGATCTGCGTGGCTCCAGCCTGCTCGTAGTTCTCGGTCAGAGTCCGGCTCAAGTGCTGCTTCTGTTCGTCACTCAGCTGAGGAGTGATAAGATGGCATCAGCAGGACCCCCCCACCCTTACCCACCACCCAGGCCTGCTCCCAGGCCTCCCCAGCTGACTCTAGAGCACTGTGGCCTGTGGATGGTGCAATGAGTATCAGTGGGAAATGGCGGAAGATGCCCATAAAGAGGAGGTTACAGAAGCGGGGCCTTGACACAGGGCGTAGGTGCAATGGGCAGAACTGAGGGAGGCTGGGAGGCTCGGGTAAAGGGTGGCAGCCAAAAGCTGGCGGGAGGCGGAGGTGAGGCTAGACCCCAGAAACTTCGAAATGTCCGTTGATCTTAATTTTGATTAAGAGGTGATATTCAAAATACTTACTATTGTTACCCTGTGAGCACCATTCCAGCATGGCTTAAACAGCCAGCAGGGTGGTGCTGTCTCTACCAGCTGAACATTACCCTGGTCATGGCCTCAAACTCTCGATTCAGAGGGCAGCAAGGTGGGCGCGGATGGGGCTGGTCACTACGTCCCTGTTCAATCCAGACAGGCAAGATCTGATCCTGTCTTCAGAGTCTTCCATGTGATCCTGGCCCAGGCCTTTCTTCTTGGACGCCTCTGGCAGATGGATTCATCCTCTAGACCATCCTTGAGAGGGGAGAGGGATGACCTATCCCCCCTGGGAGACCCCCTTCTCCACCTCCCATGCGGAAGACATCAGCATCAGTGGAATCAGGGAATTGCTGGAGCCGGGGCCAGCAGCTGGGATCCAGATGTGTGGAGGATTGCCGGGGTGGAAAACGGGACCACCCCTATGCCTGCCTCAGTTTCCCTCATCACATTGCATCCCCCTTCTCCCCCTGCATTGCTTCATCGGGGCACGGACAGACAATGGAGGAGGAGGAAGCAGCGTCCACTCAGCCTCTGGTAACACATGGGCCAGGACTCCTGCCACGAGCTCAGCCAGGTGATAAGAGACAGGCAGACATTTCTAGGAGCAAGGAGAGAAGAGGGTCGCCACCAAGGATCAGGACACACCTATGGCCGATGTTTGCCCAGCATGGGGGGGAGTGGTAGAGATAGCTCCTTGGGACCCCCGTCACCTGTGCCATCTTCCTTCTCTCGCCAGCAGCTCTGGACGTCCCAGCCTTGCCGGCTGCTGGCAGCGAGTTTCCCACTCATCCCTTTCCTCACTGGACTGGCAGCAATTCAGTAATCCACCCACCCATCCAATATGTATAAATACCTGCTGTATGCCAGGTGCCAAGCAGCGTAAGACAACTATGGTCCTCAAAGTTATTAATGGTTGGGGGGATAGGCGAGTGATTACAATCAGTGTAATTGCCATCAGTGTAACTATGGGTTAAGCCCTAGAAATGATGGGGGGCTCCTGGCGGGGAGGGCAGTCAGAGAAGGCTTCCTGGAGGCAGTGACACCTGAGGGGCATCTCTAAGGATGAGCAGGCATTTGCCAAATGAAGAAGGAGGGAAGTGCATTCCAGGCAGAGGGGAGAGCACGTACAAAGCCTGGAGCCTGAGGAAAGCGTGGGGCGCTTGTGTTCAGGGAGCAGAGTGCACCCACATGGCTGGAGCATAGGGGCCAGGCTGGGCTGCAGCAACCAAGGCTCAGGAAAAAGCAAAGGCAGAGATCAGAAAGGTGACTCGTGTGTCCTCTTCTCGCCCCGATGCCCATTCCCTGCCCTGCATGACCCCACAGGGGTTCTCAGTTCCCCTCAAAGCTGCCTGGCCGCCTCCCGGCTTGGGGTTGTCTTTCTTGCCTTACGGCCCTGCTGCAGCCACTGCCTGGCTTCCTGGCCATGCACACACGCGGGGAAGGTGTGACCCTCCTCACTCCCACCTGGATTTCCACTGTCAGGGAGGCTCCTGCTCCGCCCTGACCCCGGTGTGTTCTCGCCGCAGCCAACAGGTCTGAAATGCATGTCAGACCTACTTGGGCTGGAGGGGGCAGGGAGAGGGGGATGAAGCCAGATAAGTACAGGCAGCCAAGGAACACTGGGCAGGAACAAGGGAAGAGAAGGGAGGAGAGAAGACGGGGGAGGACTGTTGATGGAAACTGGCCTTGCCCAGGGGAAGTTCAGCCCCACTCATGAGCACCTCTCCCCTAGCTGCCCCCAGGCACTGCCCACCCATCTGGCCACAGCAGAGCAGCTGCCATGGTCACTGGGATGTCTGGGTTCTAGGGAAGGCCCAGGCTATGGGTGACACCTGAGGCTCTAGGGCTCACCCAGCAGGGAAAGGAGCGTGGGCTGGAGGGAGACAGCTGGGGGTGGGGGGCTCCTTAGGAGGGACTGGGGCTGTTGCCAGTTTCAGAGACAAGGCCAGTGCAGGGGCCCATGGGTCTTATCCAATTACCTCCTGCACCATTCGGCAAGGAGCCTGGTGTGAGCAGGGCTTAAGGAACACAAGGAGAAGGGACATTTCTTCATACAGGGAAAGAGGCTCGGCCCAAGAACAAGGCTACCTTTCAAATGAAGCGAGTTACTCGCCTTCCTCCCACAAGCTTACTGCCCCATGTTGGTTGTCTCCCAGCATTGGAGCTGGCCAACAATGGGGATAGTTCCCCGTCTCAGAATAGCGGTGTCAGGCCTGCCCCCATCACTTGAGGACCTGAGGCAAAGCCTATGAAGCAGGTCCCTACCTCACTCCTTTTCTACCCCAGGCCATATGCTGCACCAGGAAAGGCCTCCTGTCCGCCCTCCCCCAGGGTGAGATGCCCCTTGGCCGAGCCTGTGGAGAGGGCTGGGTGTGGTGCGGTGTGGGTACAGGAGAGAGGGGCACGTCCCAGGGGTCCCGTCAGCTCCAGGCCACCTGTGAAGACGCTGCATGCATGGGCTGAATGGACAGAGGATTCCAAGCTCCTGGGTTCCTGGGAGGAGGTCTGGAAGTGGGCAGAGGGACCAGGTTCCACAAAGGAACATTCTCTCATCCCCACAGACTTTCCACTCCATGGGGAGAGGTGTGGAAGAAGGAGGGCCGAGTGGGGCCCAGGCAAAGGCCCCGCTTGCCTGGGTCTGGGGGTGGTACTGAGTGGTACCCACGGGAAGCTGAGGCAGGAGGCTGACAAGAGGGTTTGTGGATGGTTCCTCTGCTGGGGAAGCCCCTGAGAAGTGGAGCCTGAACGCCAAGGGAGGCTGGCAGAGATGCCCATGAACTGGCCTTGGGTCCAGTCTCCACCACCTGCTGACTCCAGTCGGGTGGCTGCTGGTGCCTTGGCGTAAATTGGAAAAATGTGCTCTAATGAGAAAAATGGGGCCCAGCAAGAGTCCAGTGGCCTGCGTTTCAGCCTTCTCTGGTCCCCTTGCATAGGACACAACCTCTAGGGCCATCCACGGCGGCCCTGACTGTGGCTGACCCTCCCTGTCCTATCAGCAGATGGGGAGGATGGCGGTGTTGCCAGCTTGGCCCACCCCAAGTGGATGGGGCACCCAACAGGGGAGTGGTGGGGAGACATGCTTCAGTGGTCTGCCCTGCTTCCTGACTTCCCTGAACTCGAGGTCCCACAGCATGAGGGGTGCGGTCCTTGTCAGCCAGTGGCAGGTGCGGTTGGTGCAGCCCAGCACTCACCCTCCTGGGCCGCCTGGCCCATCAGACAGAGTGTGGCTGCCTCCACCCGCACCCACGGGCTCTCCCAGACCCCCGCACTGCCGGGCCCCACAGCTCCTCTCTGACATGGGTGCCTTTCCTGCGGGCTCCAAATTGCCCTCCCCACCCACTGTGGTGCACAGGCCGACTCCCTGCTGCTGTCCAGAACCTAGAGGGAGTGAGGTGATGCAGCGTCTGTAACTGAACGGGAAGACCCAGGCCGCTGGCAGCAGGGACGGCTGCATCCTGGCATCTCACCACCTTCCTTCTATTACCACCATGGGCTGGGAGTCAGGCCCAGAAGATAGTCCTGAAGAGGTGGCAGTGTCACGCTGCTCCCCTGGGAGTCCCTGCCCTGGTTGCTCTTCAAGACAGGGTGGGGAACAGGGAGGATGGGAAGGGAGAGACAACCTCGCCGCTTAAGTTTAATGGCAGGCTGTTAGCACCTGCCAGGGCTGCGAAGTCGTGTCAGAGGCACCACACAGGCTACCAACCTGCTGGAGGGATGAGGAGGAGGGGGCCGAGTGCTAGGCAAGGGTGAGGGGTGTAGGGACAGCCTCCCGAGTGAGGGGCTCCAGCATGTAAAGACACCTGGGAGGGGAGCAAGGGGCTGCCCTGGGGCTTCGAGGGACTGAGGCTGGGTGGCCCCAGGTGCTGGCTCCAGGCAGCAGCTTCCACAGCGGGAGGGCTGCAGGTGTGTGACTCACCTGGGCCAGGGAGGCCCTGAGTCATGGTTCCTGGTGTGACAGCCCCAGGGAGCAGGCCAAGAGTCCTGCTCATCTGGATCCTGCACTAAGGCTGGCTGGAGCTCCTGGGGAGTGGGCCGGGCTGCTGGGCCTTTAGCTGTGTGACACCACGGATGCCAACCAATCCACCTTTGCCCCGCTATGCTGCATTGACCCAGCGTTTCCTGGCTCCCTCCGTGCACCAGAATCATCTCAGGGCTCCTGCGGCACACGCTGGCTGTCTGCAAAGCAGAGAAGCACCCCTCGTGTTGCTGTATGAGGTTCCCTTCACGCAGGCCGGGCATCTAGCCTTCAGACCTTTGCTCTCCCCTTCCCGCTGCCTGGAACGCCGGTGCCTCCTTGTGCTTCAACACCCAGCTCAGCTCAGTCATGGCTCCACTAAGCCACGCCAGGTAGCAGCAATGGCTACTCCCTGCCGGCAAATGCCTGCAGCGTTGTCATCTGCTGTCTCCGGACACCAGCACTGTCTGCTATGCCCCTTCTCTCCTCGGCTGGGCGGGGCTCCGCCTCTGTGTCCCTCCCCATGCCTGCTGCATGATTCCTGCGTGTGGGTCTCCACTGGATGAACGGCACAACTTCCCCCACTGCCCTGTAGCTGTTGCTTTTGTTTCAGGTGTTACCACTGTCCCCCCAGAATGACTGTGAGCTTCTGGGCGTGGGGACCACACCTTGGGTTTCCTCTGGCTC